CTTTCAAGGCGCTCACCAACACAGTCCGCACTCTCTCTGTTATTTGTAATCTAAACGCTCACAGCGCATCTTCAGAGGTTATCGTTCAGCAAATGTGGATTCTGCAAAAATTTGGTGGTTTTGCGCGGTGCGGCCACAGCCCTTCTGCTTGCACTTCTGCAAGGGTTTTCAGCTTGCTTCAATATGCAGGCAAAACGGGTCCTAGTCGCATTCTGTGCGTCTCGGAAGTTCAAGTTGCCCGGGCTTAAAGTGCTGTTTCTGGCCTTGTAAGTGCGTTTCTGTTGCGGAGCTTTGTGGCTCGAAAAGCATGATAAGTGCTTTCTAAGCAACGGTAACTCAGAGCAGAAGGGTGGAATTCTCTTGGCCTCATTTGCTGCATGTGAGCCTTGGGTTGCGTCTCCGTCAATCCTCCAGCAACAGGATTGCATTGCTGGGTTAGGGCAGCCGCAGATAGGCTTCAGCTGCCGGCTTCCGGAACTTGCGTAACGCAAAAGGACGAATGGGGAAGATCAAGCTTTTCCCCACGCCTGAGTACACCAGCAAGCAAGCCTCGGAACCCCGTGGTGCCCCTGGTGCCATGCACGGGCATCTTCCTTGGGCCCAGCAAGTCGGGCAAAACTGTGGCGCTCATCAGTCTCATCCTGGTACAAGCGCGTGTTTGAGCGGATCTACGTTTTCAGCCCAAGCGTCAACATCGATGATGGCTGGATCCCCGTCAAGAAGTACATCGAGCAGGACCTGGGGGTGAACACGGAGCGTGAGCAGGCTTATTGGGACGAGTGGGATGAGTCCGCCTTGCGGCGCATCATCCAGCAGCAGCGCAAGATCACGGAAGCGTCCAAGAAGTTGGAAATGAAGAAACTGTACCAGGTGCTTGTAGTCATCGACGACTTTGCTGACACGCCGCAACTCCACAAGCCGCACGGCGCCCTTGACACGCTCTTCATCCGAGGCCGTCACATGCAGATCAGCACCTGGGTGAGCTCGCAGAAGCTGAGGCTCATCAGCGCAGCCGTGCGGGTCAACATGCAATTCCTCTGCTGCTGGAGGCTGCGCAACCAGCACGAGCTGGACGCCGTCATCGAGGAGCTGAGCGCCCTGCTGCCGAAGGAGCAGCTGTACCGGCTGTATGAGCAGGCGACCCGAGAACCTTACAGCTTCCTCTTCGTGTACTACCTGAAGCCGAAGAACGAAATGTTCTACAAGCGCTTCGAAGAGCGTTTCGCGCTTGAAAAAGACGCCGATGGGAGCGGCGCTCAGCTTCCTGGGCCAGAAGCTGTTCGCCAGCTCCACGCTGATCAACGCGAAGTGTGAGAACATCTCCTGCTGCACCTCCGTCGCAGCCGTCCAGCCGCCCGTCGTTCGCCGGACGGGCGGCTTCCTAAAGAAAAGGATGACGACGATCTACGTGGACAGCCGCAAGAGGGTGGCCGGCTCAGACAGCGACTTTGAGGTCGACCTAGGAGAGTCGCTGCACTTGCAGAGCGACGCCCGGCTGGCCGTCTACAAGATCCGCTTGGCCGACAGCTTCCTGTCCACGGACCGCGGCCGCTACCTCTACTGGGTCGACGCCGCGCTCGGCACGCGACCCCCGTGATGTTGCGTTGATCCCCAGGCCCCCCCAGGTAGGTTGAGGTGTCCCCGATCCGTGCCCCCCTGTAGCACCTCCATCGGCGAGAGGTTGGGTCGTCGCGTGTCAAAACCACGATTTTACATGGAAAGTCTACGAGGGCTCACCTTTGAAAAATTGGCATATTGCCCTGATTTGTTTTTTTGGCGAGAAACCTTCCCACACCGGCCGCAAAACGCGATCGGGGGCTGAAGGGCAGCGGCTGGTGAGGGAAGGGTGAGCAAGCGCAGAGCACAGCTTTCTTTGCCGGCAGCAGGCGATCGGGTGGTGCCAGGGATTGGCTGGCGGGGGAGGCGGGTGGCGACGGACGGCCACGGAGCAAGCGGCGGAGGCGCTGAGCAAGCGCCAAAAAGGCTGCCAAGCAGGCAGCTGGATCCGCGCTGTGGCTGGGTGCTGGCCACAGGTGCTGGCCACAGATGCTGGCCACAGGTGACGACAGGCTCCCTGGCCGCCATTTTATGCCTTTTTTTGGGAACAGGGGAATAAACAGGATGCGTTTGGGGGAACACGGGCAACAAAGGAAACTATGTGATGTGCAGTTTTTTTTGCGCGTCTGCGAGCCAAATGTGCTTATTTTTCACACAAAAAACATGTCTCGGCGAGTTGTGTGGTGCTTGCAGTCTCATCTGTCAGTCCTGGTTGTGCTGGGTGCCCTGGGGTCCCTGAAATCCCCGGGGTCCCTGAAGTCCCTGGGGTCCCTGGGGTCCCTGAGGTCCCTGGGATCTCCCGGTCCGTTCTCTCCACGCCTCGGCGGGTTTTTCCGGGCGTGTTCTTTTACGTCGGCAATCCACGACCAAAAGAACGCCGGTTTAGAATGGACAGGAGTCCCCACCCGTACCGGGCTTCACCTGTAGATCCCTCACTTCCAACACCAAACCACACTGCTTACCCATGATCCAGACTTGCCTGGCCTCGACGCGGGCCTGGCGCTCGCAGCCGGCGAGGGCCTCGGGCCTTTGGATCTTGTTGCCGTCGGTGTCCCAGAAACGGACGTTCCGTGCGTCCAGCTTGCACTTCAGGAAGGTGGCGCCCTGCCAGGACTCTTTGAGGCAGCTCTGCCACCTGTCTTTTGCATCGCCGCAGTCGCCCCAGATGCGGTTGGACCGCAAAGACAGCTCGTTGACGCACTTCTTCTCGAAGTCATCCCAGGCCCCCCAGGCCTCGGAGCCTCTCTCCATGGCAAGGCACACGTTCTGCCTGGGTCCTTGATCCTCGCCAAAGCTGCTGGGCTCCCACAGCATGTGGGTCCACTCGGATTGCCAGACTATGGGCTTCCCCTCGCACCTCAAGGGCGCCGAGAGGTCTGCACCTCCCCGACTGTCATGTTGCTGGCGATGGCAGTTAATTTGACTGGGTTGCCGGTCTCTTTTCTTATAGGGCGGACAAAACAAACGGTCCGACCAAAGTGTCGGCCCCAGATCAAGCGGCTCGAGAGCCATTTCCGGAAAAGGGGTTCTCACGGTTTTACGTTGTCGGGTGTGAGCACTTGCCGCAGCCTTTTGGGGACACTTTTGGGTCCGGGGCGGTGGGGGGGGAACCGCTCGCGGGTGCAAGGCGTGGTTTCGACCCCACGTACAGTGTGCCGGCCATGTGGAGTTGGAGAACGGCGTCCCGCAACAGGCTTTGTGACCTCGAGATCTACCGCCTGGGCCTTCGCTTGGCTGTTTGCGCTGTCACTGCCAAGCCCAACTGATCTTGGAGGTTTGGGCCCAACAAGCCTTGCTTCTCGTGCCAAGGCTTGTTTAACCGCGGGATCTACATTGCCCAGACCTTTTGCTGTTTCCGTTGCCGTCGCCAAGTGCAGCTGATCTTTTGAGGTGATCCGTGAGGCTCTTGCTCAACTCACCGTCTGTCAGGCTCCCTTTATGTTTGACCCGCCGAGCAATCACGTCACATGCCAGGCGCCAGGATCCACTGCGACGTGCAGATCTTCTCGCGGTGCGGCCCTTTGGAGTTGTTTTTTTTTCACATTTTGTTTGGCCGCTTGCAAGGTGGATCCACAATTCGTTCTACAGGACTCCTGTGCAGGTTGCGCGGCGTTTTCATGGTCTGGTCCAATTTGCCAAGTTGACCTGGTGAGGCCACGTGGATCTTCCTGTGTTTGTGGGTCTCTAGGGTCCCTAGGGTCCCTGGGGTCCCTGAAGGTTCCCTAGCGTTCTTGACGCAAGCATCCGTCAATCTGAAGCGTCGTTGGAAACCCTGCGGACCCCAGGGGACGCCAGGGACCCTAGGGACCCTAGGGACCTTAGGGACCCGGGGACACCCTGTGGTACCTGGGGTGACAAGGTGGGGTGCAACGAACATTCCTGCGGTCAATTGCAGGTTTTTTGCTGGAAGCGACTTGTGAAGTGGTTTTTGATCATGTATCGGTTTCAGTAGATACAGATCTATTTATTTGTGTACATTCATAGATTTATCAATTTATAGATCTTTATATTATTATATTTCTAGATTTCTAGATCTATACATTCATAGATTTTTAGATTTGTAGATTTATCAATTTATAGATCGATTTTTGATTATATTTCTAGATTTGTAGATCTATACATTCATATATTTTTAGATTTGTAGATTTATCAATTTATAGATCTTTATATTATTATATTTCTAGATTTGTAGATCTATACATTCATAGATTTTTAGATTTGTAGATTTATCAATTTATAGATCTTTACATTATTATATTTCTAGATTTGTAGATCTATACATTCATACATTTTTAGATTTGTAGATTTATCAATTTATAGATCTTTACATTATTAGATTTCTAGATTTGTAGATCTATACATTCATACATGTTTAGATTTGTAGATTTATCAATTTATAGATCTGTACATTATTAGATTTCTAGATTTGCAGATTTTTAGACTGATAGTCTACGTTGCTTTGGTTTGCGTAGCAGAACGACTTTGTTCAATGGAGGTTCAAGGCACGCCACTTCCCAGAGGCTCCCCCCTTCCAAGACCTGCGGAGTCCCCGGGGTCCCTAGGGTCCCTAGGGTCCCTAGGGTCCCTGGTCCCCTGACCCGGATTTAACACCCCCCCAAAGGTACCCAGGGTTTTCAGAGGGACCAGGGACCCTAGGGACCCCAGGGACCCCAAGCACGCTCGTGCGGATTTGTTTGAGGGGGGCCCACCAAGAACCCCCAGGGACCCCACAAACCCCAGGGTCTCCAGGGACCTTGGGTGCTTCAGATACTGCCCACCGCAAATCCGAGAAAATCCAGGGACCCCAGGGACCCCAGGGACGCCAGGGACCCCAGGGACCCCAGGGACCCAGGGACCCCAGGGACCCCAGGGACCCCAGGGACCCCAGGGACCCCAGGGACCCCAGGGACGCTCGTCGACCCAGGCCGGGCCAGTAGAAGACGCCTGGTGCCCAGCAGATTCCAGCAGCAGCATGTGCACATGTGACTTTCGGAGGAGTTGGTCAGAATTTGGCAGACGAGTTGATCAGACTTTGGATGTGAGGGCTTGCGAAGCTGAGTTTGGCTGAAATCTGAAAGTTGCTTGTGGATCTTGTTGCTATGTCCTTCAATGCAGTTGCGGGCTATCTCGGCGACCTTGCCCGCGGCAAGCGGAGGGTGACTGCGAGCCGGCCAAGTCTGACTGGGAAGACTTGCAGGCCGCCGTCTTGGCCGGTGACACAAAGGCCCTGCAGGTGGCCGACGCAGTGATGGCGCAGGCCAAGAGCCGCACTGACGCCGAGCGCATGGAGGCGTTGGAACGCCTCCTGCAGGAGGAGTCCGTGGAGGACTGGCGGAGCCTGCAGCTTGGCGCTCCGCGTGCAGCCATGCCTGCCTCTGACAGCGTCTCATCCAGGGACCCCAGGAACCTCAGGGACCCCAGCAACGCCAGGCGCCCCAGAAACCTCAAAACTTTCAGAGACCCCTGAAACCCCCGCCCTCCAGGGCACGACAGCTTGTGACTTCCGCGGTGCCGATTTCGGTTGCCTGTTTTGCAGGCAGGCCAGTTTGGTATCTCGCTTGGACTTTGATGCAGCGGCAGGATGTGGGTCAGCCAGTCTGACGGATGGACGCTGCGAAGCCTTGCAAGGCTTGGCCCGACCGACCTTCAGGCCGCGAGTGAAAAGGAGGAGGAGCATCCAAACCCGTGCGTTGGTGTTGCCAAAGAAGCCAGTCAATCTTGTGTTTGCTCTGGAAACTTGGCTCGAGGGTACTCATCAACACTGACACAACAACAGCTCGCAATGGTTGCCCGATGGTCTAGTGCCAGTGATTGAGGAATCGCAGGCCGCTCAAGCGCTTTTCGAATAGCCATGGCGATGATGCGGACCAGGACCAAAAGCCGAGGCTGGCAAGCTTGTGACGCTACCGTGCCCGCGGTAGGCAGCGGCCAGGTATGTGCCTCTGCCTTCTCGGGATTGCATTGGCGCTGCTCGTGCAGCCGAGCACGGCCTGGGTCTTGGGACACATTTTTTTCGAAGGTTTTCGGGTTTCAGGAGTCCCTTGTCGCCGCCGCCCAGGACTTTGCTCGAGGAGTTCCTGGGCTGAAGGAGCATGAAGTCCCTCCTTTGGATGTTCTTGTTTCGTGCTGAGTGCCAGGACAGCATGTTGGCCCAGTTCTCAGAGTTGCCCGCGGGCGCAAGCAGATTGCACTTTGGCTCTTTCAGGCAAAACGGCACCCGTTGCATGCCGGAGTCGCTCGGCGCGCCGGGGCTGCGCAAGAGGACTCCTCCGACCCGAAGCCTGTTCGCATCTTTTGCCGGTTGCCGCCAGGACAACAGTGCCGAGGCCGGGGACACGTGCATCAGGCTTGAACGCTGGGCTTGTTGGCTGTCAGGACCGGCTCGATCTCGAGGAGGCGGCGGGCCTTCAGAGAAAGCGACGTCCCAGCCTTTTCTCGCTCAGGTGATTTCAGAAGCTGAACGGGTGCTGAACACATCGGCGACGAAGAAAGACATGCAAGTGGTCATGCGCCGCTTTAGCAGCACATTGGTTGCAGCAGGCGTGGTGAAATTTTGAGCTCAGGAAAAGTGCAGCTGACAGATCCAGGGAAGTGGAATGATTTGGCGACTAAGCCTGAGTTAAAGCAGCAGCTAAAGAAGTTTGTGGCAGAGGCAGGAGTGTTTGCTTGTTTTACCAACAGGTCAGATTCACAAGCGCTTTCGTGACATTCTCTGTGCTGCATGTTTGTCGAGGCAGCCCTAAAGGCCTTGGAAGAGGCCGTCCGTCCGAGCGCACTGCTGCTCGGCGTGTGAGTCTTGCTGGGCAGGACCTGCTCCTGGCGCGACAGCAGCAAGCGAGCGCCCAGCGGCAGGTTGAGACTGCCCAGCGGCAGGTTGAAAGCGCTCAGCGGCAGGTTGAGAGCGCCCAGCGGCAGGTTGAGAGCGCCCAGGAGCAGGAAGCGATGGCGGTGAGGCGTCTCGCTCGAGCTGCCACCGTCTTGGAGACGGCGGAGGACTCGGGCAATGCGACAAAGGTGCAGGAGGCGAAGAAGGAGGTGGAGAAGGCGGAAAGGAAGGTGGAGAGGGCGAAGAAGGAGGTCCAGGCGGCGGAGAGGAAGGTCCAGGAGGCGAAGAAGGAGGTTCAGGAGGCGGAGAGGAAGGTCCAGGAAGCGAAGAAGGAGGTGCAGGAGGCGGAGGTCAAGGAGGCGAAGGCAAGCGGCCGGACGAAGGAGTCCGAGGCGGGCGGAGTCGGTCGCTTCCGCCGGCCGGCTGCGTTCTGGGACTCTGATCGTTGCGTGCGGTTCTGAAATTCCCCGCGCGGCCCGCACATGGTTTTGGTGGGGCTGCCCTGATCGCATCCAGAGAACCAGGAAATCCCAAGATAGCATTTTTGCAGATTGCGGCGATTCGTGTCTTCATAGATTTCAACTGGCTGCATTGTTGGCAGACGTGAAACGAATCAGTGTGGAGGCCCATGAATCGATGGTTGCCCTTCCTTGCCATTCGGGGAGGTCGTTCGCTGCTGCCGGTCGACAATTTTGAAGACGTGCAGTTGGTCGTTGTGTGTGGTTTTCGATTTCCCCAGCCCCGAAAATGTTGTTTGTGGGACTGCCCTGATCCCATCCACAGAACCAGGAAATCCAGAGTTGCGTTTGCGCAGATTGCGTTTGCGCAGATTGCAGCGCTTCGTGTTTTCATAGACTCCAGCTGGCTGCATTGTTGACATTCTTTGAGACGTGCCGTTGGTCGTGTTGTGTGGTTTTGATTTCGGCCCCAGCCCTGGAAATGCACTGAGTGGGGCAGGCTGCCCTCATCACACCCACAGAACCGGGAAATCCGCAGATTGCGCTTGCAGAGCCCAGCGCTTCCTTTTTTTGGAAACTGGCTGCATTTTGGCAGGCGCAGTTGGACTCGGTGTGCAGCCCCCTGAAACGGATGGTTGAGCCCAGCCACACATTCCCAGCTTTGTGTCTATGGGCAGTGCTGCATTGTTTGGTTTTGTTCGGTTTCTGTTCCCCGCCATTTCTTGCCCTCCTGCTCATGATGCTCATGGGAGGCGAAGGCGATCGGCCCCAGGGAAGACCTCGTTTAAAGCCGCCCTGACAATTCGACTTCTAGAGGTTTGTGCCCAACATGGAATACTTACCCAATGTTCAAGAGTCTTTGGGTAGGGGAACCCTGCGAGGAGCTTTGCAGACGTTGGTCGGTTTGCAAGTCTTGGGTAGGTCTGCAAGAACAGGGTCTCTCCTTTCGTTTTCTTGCGCGCCATTTTTCCCAACTCCAAGATGCTCTGTTGCCTCTTGGGCCCCCGTTTTCTACTTCTCAGTGTGCAGGAGCATGTGGAAAAGCTGGTTAAGAAGTTTGCGGGGGCGGAGTATTGGGCACGCCCGACACCACGCTTTGGGAAGTATGTGCGAGGCGAGAGGCTCACTTGGCCTGGAACAGACTTGCCTTGCCCGGGTGAGTTGCCAAACGCTTCCCGGACAGATGATGGCCGGACCACAGCATTCGGCATTGGCAACGCCTTTGGCACTGGGAAGACGGAGGTTGCGATCCGGAGTGCCGAGATGACCTGCGCAGCGGAGCCCGGCTTGAGAGTCGCTTACATCTCCTTCAGCAATGGATACAAGAGCCCAGCTTTGACTGACACCGTGAAGGACGACAGCTTGAGGGAAGGGGAGATGGGCCAGGTGTTCCGATGCAGCAAGTACTGCGGCCTATGGCTCATGGCAGGGATCAGGGCAACGCGGGTCATTGACAACGAGGTGCAGGGCAACTCGAAACTCTTCCAAGCGATTGTTGGAGCTTACATGGGAAATCCTCAGTGGAAGCTTCCTGACTATGTTGAACAAACCGATGCCAAACTAATCGTCATTCTTGACGAGGTGCAGAGGTTCAGCTTCAGCGCACTGGAAGGCCTTGTTACCATGATCGTTGTGCCGTCAAAGACTCGCATGAGTCTTGTGGTTGGTGCTTTTTCACCGTCCTTCTTGAACCCCTCTGGCAATCGACTGCGCGATGTAAGGCTGCCAGTATTAGCAGAGGATGACATGGAGCAGATTTTCCAGGACAGGATTCCAGGTGCGCAGATCAATTTCGAAGGAGTGTCATTGCCGGGGCTCTTCGGCGGCTGTGTGCGGCCGCTAGCCAGTTGGTCCTCTGCGAAAGAGGAACTTGGAATGAACCAGGACCCCACCCAGTCCTGTCTTCGCCAATATGAGACATCCAGCTACTGGACGACGGCGGGCCTCGTTCAGGCGGCCGTTGCGGATGTGCCCATCTGCTCTGAGATGCTGAAAACTGCATTTATGCAGGACAGCCTGAGTCTCGGCGCCGCCTTCGTCTTACCCAAAGACCGGCATTTCCTTGTTTCGCTGCCACCCTTGCAGATTGCGGCAGGCCAGTTCGAACTTCCAACTGAGATAGATAAGGGCACTCAAAGGAAAGTTCGTGACATACTGACAGGTTTTTGCTCACCTACATGGACGCAGTTCGAGGAGCTCACGGGCATCGCGCCAGCTTTGCGAGTTGCTGCGTTGTCACAAAGCAACATGGGCCTGATTCTTGGTGGCCATACCGTTCTGCAGCATGTCTTTGGAAGCGAGGCCTCCAATACCAAGGCCCAGGAACTGCTCAGAAAAAATGTGAGGGAAGATCTCGCAGTGCGTTGGGTCAGAGGTGGCACAGATGTGGCAGCAGTGAACTTTTCTCAGCTCAGTTGTGATGCTGGCGAGAAGGAGCTGCTGACCATTGGCATGGCCGCAGATCACAATTCGAACTTCGACCACTTCCTCATTGTCCCGCTGGACAATGGCGAGAAGCTCTTGTTCTGCTTAGATGCAAAATTTAGCGTGGAGGGTATGGAGAAGGACTTGAACTTCGAGCAAGACATTCAGCCCAAGCTGAAGGGATTCTCAGCAATGAACCTTCCAACAAGTTGGCATACTTTGGTCCTTATCGTGTCGAATCGCAGGATCACTGAAGGACAAGCAATACGTGTACAGAATTTTGCAGAGGCACCGCTAATCGCAGCAGGGGCGGAGCACCTGCAGCGCGTGCTGTCGTGCTCTTTGGTCCCACCAGCATACAGAGAGCGGCGGCGAAAAAAGCAGAGTTAGTGGATGTGAGTGGGACGCTGGTGCATGTTGCAGCCAAAACACCGCGAGCGCTTGGGATTGCAAGGCGGGGTCATGAACCTGAACGAACAGGGGCTTGTAATGCGGGGTTGCAAGGGTTGCGTCGGTTCTCATTGCAATCCCCATTCAAATTATTTTGACCTCGGCTGCGAAGAAGCCATTGAAACTGCATCTCTAGAGTCTGCGTGTGTGTGTGTGTGTGTGCTTAGAAGACCTGAATTGAAAAATGTTGGCGTGCCTGCCGACGGGGTTTTGGGGCGAATCACACTCCGGGATTCGTTTTTGTCATAGGATGCTTAAGGCTTGTGGAGGGTGGCCTTGACTCCTTGCACCCCGTTACACAAGAAAAGCTTCCCCAAAAATGGCGTGGTGAAAACGATCTGCTTCTGCACCTGCCGCAGAAAGCGACTGGTCTTGGAAAGCGGGTGATGGCAAAAAACAACTGTGCGTCAGCAAAGCTTCACACTCTAGGCTGTCAGCGGGCAAGCGCCAAAAGGTCGGCCCACTACGTCCACTAAGTACTGTTGGGTCCACCAGGCCCACTGTGTCCACACACCATACGCCTCGGAGAAGCCATCCTTCTCCATGCAAACCATGCACAAGACATGACGGTCGTAGTGCTTCGCATGCTGAGTGGGGAGTGCTCCCTTTGTTGGCGAAGTTTGCAAAGCCGACGTGCAAACAGCCAGGTTGCTTTTAGCGTTTCCGGCCTCTACGTTCAGGCCAGGTGGCGTCCAGCGTGTTTCTCACATGGTCGGGGTCCTTTGCAGATGGAGGATCCGATGAGATTGTCAGCGCTAGCAGGCCGCTGGCCTCCTCGCAAGCCTCTTTGCGACAACGTGGCTGCGACGACCCAAGCTGCTGACAATTGGACGACTGCCCCAAGTTTGAGCCCTCCATCTGCTGCGATATCCTGCAAACTACCGCACCTTTCCACTTCCAGTTCGTCTGGGCATCGCCTGTGTGCGCCGAACACTCCAGAAAGACCCGCGCGCTCGCAGGCGTTGTCCCCGGAATCCTCGAATGCGCATTCCAGGATACTGTTGAAGCACGGCAGCTGGTACTCGCAGCCTCTGCCGCAGGACGGTTTCTACGTGTACGCGGCTGTTCCGGTATTGCGTCGTCTCCGAGGACACCACCCACTCCCCTTCCGGGTCGTAGAAGTACGTCTCGTCGCTGAGTTCCATGATGGGCGCCCTGCCGGCGGCGCGGTCCTCGTCCCCCGCGGCCACCAGCCGCTCCTGCTTGACGTTTTGCAGTATTTGCTGCTCCGACAGCCTGTCGGGCTGCCGGCTGGCCTCCCCACCCAGGACATTTGCGGGGAGCCAGTCCCTGCGCTCGTAAGCCCGGCCCGCGTTTTTGCCGGCCCGCCGCATCCCCCTGATGACCACTGGGATGTGTGCTACGTGCTGCGAGTACTTGTTCTTGAAGAACCGCCTCCCTAGGTTCGTCAGCTGGTAGGTGCCGTCCTCCCGCAGCCGCCGCACTAGGCCCCGCTGCCCGTTCTGCAGTAGCACGTAGTCGGCCGCACCCTCCCTGACCAGCGGCTGCCTTGGGTCGAAGGTCCTCGACTCTGGCTGCCGCCCGAGCATGCCGAAGTAGGCCTCCCCGGCCCTGGTGACGCTCCCGTCCGCGCGCTGGAGCAACGCGTAGGCGCCTCGGCCCCGCCTCAAGCCCAAGACACGGCTTCCGTCATCCGTGTCCCGGGCCCTCGATCCGGCCTCGACCGCCTCCCTGATGTGCTCCCGCTGCCTCGCCCAGGATGCCATTGTTGCGTTTGATTGCTTTTCTTAGGCTGGTTAAAAAAAAGTCGTCCGATCGGCATCAAATGGATCTTGATGTGTGGATTTTTGCATGACATTTGCTTGGTGTGCATGGTTTTGCATGTTTTTGGCATGGAATTTGCTTTTGATTGCACCCTGACCCCCTGTCTTGAGGAAGGTGACGCCCTCGTGGAACATCCTGGCGAAGCACTACGAGGGTCTGGCGCTGGGGGGGCGGGGGCAGTGCCGAGCTGGCACTTAGGAGTGCCGAGCAGGCACTGGTAGGTAGATGTGCCGAGCAGGCACTTAGGAGTGCCGAGCAGGCACTGGTAGGTAGATGTGCCGAGCAGGCACTTAGGAGTGCCGAGCAGGCACCGGTAGGAGGTGGTGGGGCTTGATACTGGTTCGCCCAACTCCATTTCGATACTGGCTCGCCCAACTGGGCCTGTTTTTGTGTGTTTTTGCACGCTTTTGGGATTGCACCCTTTTGCACCCTGATTGCACCCTAATTGCACCCTAATTGCACGGAGCTGACGCTGTCGTGTCGTGTGCTGGGGGGGGGGCCACTGCGAAAGTGGCGGCCGCTGTACAAGTGGCGGGTGGTGCGACCACTGTTCAAGTGGCAGGCCACTGTACAAGTGGCATGGAGGGGGCCACTGTGAAAGTGGCGGCCACTGTACAACGGGCACAGTGTCGTGGATCGAAGGTTGTGACGGGGTTTGCGTGGTGCTTTGCTATTTGAGCAAGTGGCGGAGTTGCGTGACTTGACCTTGACATTTTTATTTTTCACGATTTTGTGGCATGTGGTTGTTTGGATGGGAGGGACACTGCATGAGGATTTGATGCCTGGAGGACAGTGGTTTGAGCGGCAACTTGGCAACCGTCCCCCGTCTGGCGTGATGGACCCTGCGTGCCCCCTGTCTCCTCCCCTGTGCCCCGAGTGCCCTGGGTGCCCTGGGTGCCCCGGGGCCTTGCTGTCACCCGGTGTCAGAGCAAAAATCACGACCAGATGGAGCGGCCCCAAACGAGTCTTCGCGAACCTGTTCTTTTACGTTGGTAATCCGCGATTAAAAGAACGCAGTTTTAGAAGGGGCAAGAGTCCCCGCCCGTGCTGGGCTTCACCTGCAGGTCGCGGACCTCCAGCACCAGGCCGCATTGCTTGCCCATGATCCAGACCTGCCGGGCCTCGACGCGGGCCTGGCACTCGCAGCCCGCCAGCGACTCGGGCCTCTGGATCTTGCTGCCGTCGGTGTCCCAGAAGCGGACGTTCCGCGCATCCAGTTTGCACTTCAGGAAGGTCGCTCCCCGTCGGGACTCCTTGAGGCAGCTCTGTCACCTGTCCTTCACATCACCGTAGTCGCCCCAAATGCGGCTCGACTGCGAAGACAGCTCGTTAACGCACCTCTTCTCGAATTCCTCCCAGGCCGCCCAGGCCTCGGAATCCCTTTCCATCGCAAGGCAAGCGTTCTGCCTGGTTCCTTGGTCCTCGCCGAAGCTGCTGGGCTCCCAGAGGACGCGCGTCCACGCGGACTGCCAGACGATGGGCTTCCCCTCCTCGCACCTCAAGGGCGCCGACGTGGCTCCCTTGGGGCTGGTCTGGACCTCGCCCAGGGCGACGCTAGTGGCGATGGTAGTCATCTTGACTTTGCTTGCCGGTCCTTTTCTTATAGGGCGAGAAAAATAGTGGTCCGACCAAAAGCGTTTGGTCGGCCCTCGCTTCAAGCGGCTCGAGGGCCGCCATTTCCGGAAAAAACCTGTTTATGTTTGTTTTTCCGGAAATTCGTTTGGCATGGCACGGCGTGGTGTTTTTGCATGATTTTCATGTTGTCAGTCGACTTGTGAGCGCTTGAGGGCTCTGTGGTGAGACCTGGCTTGCTGCCGCCTTTTGAGGGCCTTACTCGGGGTCCGGGAGATGGGAGCGAGCCGCTCGCGGGGGTGTAAGGCGCGGTTTTTCGGCCCACGTGCCCACGTGTCCTTGCCCTTTGCCCGCATTCAGGGTGGCCAAGACTCTGGAATTGCCTTTTGTCACCTTTTTTAACTGCGTGCCAGGGCTTTGTTTGACATCGAGGTGTACTGCCCGGGCCTTTTCACTGTTTCCGTTGTCATGGTCATTGTTGTCAGCAGATCTTTCAGGCCTAGGACCAACCTTGATCCCTTTGGCCCGGCGAGGCCCGTGTGGAGTGTTCCATGACACCCCCGCCCGTGCCAGGATTCGTTTGACCTACATGCTGCCTGGGCCTGTGCGGTGCGTTGGATGTCGATGGTGCACTTGCTTTGTTTCGACTTGATTGGTGCCACTGCGCATGTGCTCGTGCTTGGGTCCGAGGTGTGCTGGACCGCATCCTGCAGACCTGGCCGGCCGGGGCCCCCACTGCGTTTTCACCGGAACTGTAGCTCCCCCCGTAAAGTGAATTGCGTCACCCCAATTTTCTGAGTATCTTGGTTTTGAGGGCGCCCTGAGGCGATCTTCGGGGTTTTGGGTGATCCTTGTTGGCGCTCCCGGACACTACCCCCCCTACGTTTTCCTTGTTTTCCGGTTCGCCAGGTTTGGATGATGCGGGGATGCTGCGATGATCCTACGAGTCTGATGCCGGTGATGCCGCTGGCCATTTTCGGAGCTCGGCTTTTTGTGTCGGTTTCGCCGCATTGGATGGTTCTGAGATGCTGTCGTGAGGAACTGGTGGGACACTCTTGACATCGAAGCCGACATCATCAAGGCAAGCAGAGGGGTTTGTGGGTCGCGTGGGCTCCCTGCAGTCCCTGAGGTCCCTGCAGTCCCTGGGGTCCCTGGGGTCCCTAGGCTCCCTGGGGTCCCTGGGTCCCTAGGGTCCCTGGGTTGGGGTTTTTGGCTGGGTCCCCCGGGGTTTTTGGGTCTTTGGGGTCCCTGGGGTCCCTGGGGTCCCTGGGGTCGCTCTCTTGTTGGACACCCTCCTGCCGGGGAAACCCCCCGTAAAGTGAATTGCGTCATCCCAATTTTCTGAGTATCTTGGTTTTGAGGGCGCCCTGAGGCGATCTTCGGGGTTTTGGGTGATCCTTGTTGGCGCTCCCGGACACTACTCCCCCACGTTTTCATTGTTTTCCGGTTCGCCAGGTTTGGATGATGCGGGGATGCCGTGATGATCCTACGAGTCTGATGCCGGTGATGCCGCTGGCCATTTTCGGAGCTCGGTTTTTTTGTGTCGGTTTCGCCGCATTGGGTGGTTCTGAGATGCTGTCGTGAGGAACCGGTGGGCCACTCTTGGCATCGAAACCGACATCATCAAGGCAGCAGAGGGGTTTGTGGGTGGCGTGGGCTCCCTGCAAAATCCCTGGCGTCCCTGGGGTCCCTGGGGTCTGAGGTCCCTAGGGTCCCTGGGGTCCCTGGGGTCCCTGGGGTCCCCTGGTCACTTGTGCGTCGTTGTGTTGAACCGTCTGCTGCAGGCGCCGTGAAACAACATCTTTTTCATCGAGATGTCTCGCCAGGGCCCCAAAGTGCATCTATCCTTGTCTACACACTGCGGTTTCCAGGGACCCCAGGGATTGCAGGGACCCCAGGGACCCCAGGGACCCTAGGGACCCCAGGGACCCCAGGGACGCCAGGGACCTCAGAGACAGGGACATCGCGGACGCTGGAGCTTCTGTTGTTTTGGCATCCATCTGTTGCTTGTTCCATTGGATCAAGAATCCCTCTGCTGTTTCATCGGAGCAACGATCCATCTGTTGGATTTCCATTGGAGCAATGAGCCATCTGTCGTTTTCCATCGGAGCCACTACATATATATATATATACATATTGCTTATTTTCATGTACTCATTTTTATATATTTCTATGTATTTATATTATTGTATTTGGTCATTTTTTCATCTTTCCATGTATTTATATTATTGTGTTTCTACAAATTTTATATATTTAGATATTTATATATATATATATATATATGTATCTGTTTCTACATGATGTTTTGTTTTTTACATCCGTGTTTGTAATTGGGAAATGATGTGGCTTTGAGTTCGACATTTTCTTCTTTGAACTACTTTATGATGCTGGAGACGGTCCAGGCCAATATCATTTGGACATATCAGGAACTCTGAAGACCCTGGGTCCCTAAGATCTCTAAGGTCCCTAAGGTCTGCAGGGTCCCCAAGGTCCCTGGGGTCCCTGGCGTCCCTGGGGTCCCTGGGGCCCCTGGGGTCCCTGGGGTCCCTTTTTCTTTTTGTCCGTTTTGGCAGTAAACAACAGTCTAGCCCTATCCGGCTTTCCTACCAAAAGCGGTCCTCTGGAAGCCTTTTTTCGAAATAACTGCTTCTGGCATCCGCTTTCAACCCAACGAAGGGGAAGGCCCTCGCATCGGATTGAGATGGACCCCGAGTCTAGAGAATCCTTTTTCGGGGACCCCAGGGAATTCAGGGACCCCAAGGGACCCCAGGGACCCCGGATTCCAGGGATTCCAGGATTTCAGGGACCCCGGGGACTCCAGGGATAGCAGTGGGTTTGCTGCCGAGGCCATGACGACCACAGCCAGAGCCGAAAAAGTCAGTGCCTTTGCAGTTTGAAAACGTGCTTGTCCTTGCAGATGTTGCTCAACATTTTTGCCTCTTCCTTCTTGATGCATGACCCTGCCCATGCAGCTGATTTTGCTTGACATAGAAGCACTGGCGTCTAGAGCGCCAGCCATGGTTTTCGACTTGGTTGCAGGCTCTCTTGGGCGCGGGCGGTGACAACGGGCGAAGTCGCTCCCATGAGCGATGCTAAAGCCCAGGGCGTGGCCGATGCAGTGATGGGCCAGAGCAACACGGATGCCGGGAGGATGGAGGTGCTGAAGCAACTCATGGAGCAGCAGTCCGTGGGAGATTGGAGGTTCTTGAGGCTGGAGACCAGCAGCTCGTCTTCTGAGGAGCCAGTGGAAAGCGAGCCCTTGGCCAAGAAGCCAAAGATCGAAGTGAGGAGGATGAACAGGGTGGAGATGCAGGAGGAGCTGAAAGCCCAAGGCGAGCCCGTCGAACCTGGCGCCACCGTGAATCAGCTGAGATCTCAGCTGGTGACGGCTCGCAAGTCTGTGGAGACGCCCATGGGCGCGGCTGAGGTCCAGGAGCCCCTGCCGGACAAGGTGGAGACGCCCGTGGACGCGGCGGAGATGCAGCAGGTGGAGACTGAGGGCCAGGAGCCCCTGCCACACAAGGTGAAGACGCCCGTGGACGCGGCGGGTGAGACCGCGCATGCCGCCCAGAAGCCCGAGGAGAGCCGCTGGAGTCCCGCTCCTTCAAGGGCATGCACATACAAGGACTTGTTCTTCTTTCTTGCTGAGTGCGCGGCCAACAGTTGGAACCGCGCGCTGCAAGTGGACGGAGATGAGTACAGGGGCCTGCTCATGACACAGGACGGGTACTTGATCGACGTGCGGACCATGGACGCGCAGCTGGCCAAGCAGGAGCACGTCATCACAAAATGCTTGGGGGTGACTTACCCACGAGAGCTCTTTGCGATGTTGGGCCGGGGCCTGGACTTGGAGGCTTGCTTGCAACAGGTGAAGGACTTCGAGAGCGGGGTCGGGCAGGGGTACGGCACTGTGGACATGCCGCCTGAGCTCAGCGGCAAGTTACTGAAGTTGTTCGAGCATCCCGCCCTCGAGGCGTGCAAGGTTCTCTACAGTTACTGGGAAAACATGGCGGTCACACTGTGGTTGATGAAGTGGGCAGCGCATAGGCTCTGCGGCACGTCCCAGCTAGAGGAATTTCACATCTATCTGGGAGGGAGCAAGAACGGAAAGAGTTGGTGGATCGCGCAGCTGCAGGCCAGGGACGGGCCCCGAAAAAACCAATCCACTGCCCTTTTGTTTTTCATATCCCGCCCCTGCCAGGCTTTGTTCGGCACGTATTGTGCGATGCCCGACTCCGATCTCCTGACCCGCTTCAACAGCCAGCAGGCCACTCCGCAGCACATGCAACTCCGGGGAGCTCGCCTCCTGCCGTTTGCGCGATCTGGGTTACACGGGCCTACATTCAATGGGCGAACGCACTCCACCACTCCCTCATCAAGTTTGACGAGTGCCGCCTGGGCCAGGTGGTAGTGGGGTCCACGACATTGTCAACGGACCTTCCCCTTCACCATTGGCATGATCTGCGATGCAACCACGGAGCTCACCCCAGGGGGGAGAAGCTCAACTCCAGTGACCTCAGCCGGTATCCAGAGCAGATGATGCAGGGTCTCGCAGCGGCCATCCTTTGCAGAGCGTACAAGGCCCCCGCCGCCTCCTGCGGGACCTGCTCGACCCAGTCGTGGACCACGTTGCAGCGCCAGTTGACCTTCACCTCCACCATTGAAGACTTGCTCAGGCCCGCCACCAACTTGGTGTAGACGAAGGCCTTCAGCGATGCCAGCGGGAGGGTGATCCGCTCGTCGCAGACCGCCCTGAAGCGCAGCGCCTCCTTACTGTCGTGGACGGGGGCCACTGCGATCTCCATCACAGGCATCGGGCAGTTGACGATGAAATTCTTGGCCGCCAAGAACGTCCCCATCTCCTTGAAGATGTAGCTCCATTCCGCCTTGCTGCGCGGCTTGGGGATGCCCAGGCTCTCCAGGAAGGGCACCGCCTCCTTCCTCATCTGGAGGATGTTGCCCATCCACTTGTCCGAGGTCGAGCCCTCCGCATTGCGGCCCCGGCGTTGCGTCTTCACGATCAACGGGAAAGTGGTCCAGGCCGAGTAGATGTACTTGAAGGTGAACCTGTGGGCGTACACCCCCGTCAGGCTCGGCAGGTCCCACGTTCTGGTCCAAAACACCCCATCACCTTTCGCCCAGAAGATCCCCACCACCTGCAAGGCCGTGTAGATGACTGGGTCGATGTGGTCCCGCTCGCACGTGAGTGGGTGAGTCCTGCGCTCCAGGGCCAGCACCCTTGGGGATCTCACCGCTTGCGTGCTTCTTCGGAGATGAATGCCTCGCATCGGCCCCAGGCCAACACACTGAAGTTGTACAGCGACCACAAGACTGTGATCCACGCCCGAAACCATGTCAGCTTCCGAGTTCAGTTCGGCTTGGTGATGTGCTCCAACGAGCGGCTGCACATGTCTCTTGACGGGGGAACCGACAGACGACTGTCGGTGGCAGAATGGCCGATTCAGTTCTGCCAAGGCGATTCAGTGGAGTTTGTGTGGGAGTCTTTCGTTGAGACGTGGGAGATCGCCTCGAGGCCGTCCATGGAGTGTGCGGGCTACGGAGTGGTGTCGGATGCCTGGGTCGCCTTTGCCAGGACAAAGAACGTCGGCGTTTCGGCCGCCGGCAGTCACTTCAAGCAGGCAATGCTACGCCACAAGCACAATGACCGCTACGTGGCCAAGTTCCTGAACGAAAACCAGTGCTTCAAGCAGCCTAAAGGGTCTGCGTAGAGTTTTGATTTTCCAAATCCGGGTGGCTGTCTAGTATAAAACACAGCTTGCAGCGCCATTTCAATTGAATTGCGCAAGTGGGCTGCAGCGCTTGACAGACATCCGTCTGCGGCTCTTGGTCGCAGTGAATTCAATGTGTCCGTGCGACATCTCTACATTTCTACATGATGTAGAATACAGAGCGGATCATGCTTGACACGGTGATTGTGTCGCGTGTGACGCGTGGATGAAACCAATCATGGTTGGAAAAGCAATTGAGCTTGCCTCTTGCCGAGATCGCCTTGTTGCAAGGATGGAGTGTAGAGTCACAGAAGCCAAGAGATGGAATTCACATTGTCACATGAAAGAGAGAGAGAGAGAGAGAGAGAGAGAGAGGGAGAGAGAGAGAGAGAGAGAGAGATAGAGAGAGAGAGAGAGATTTGCCTGGAAAACGCCTAGTCCTCCACCCCCCTAATAAGCCACTAAGACGCGATGGTTTCTCCCCAACCGCATTGCGGCTGTTCTTTTGGGGTGCCCCCTAAATGCGCGTTCTGGCTCGAAGTGCTACAAAGTTGCCAGCTGGAGAGCGTTTGTGCTTGTGGCTCGAAGTGCTACAAAGTCGCCAGCTGGAGAAGCGGTTGTGCTCTTGGCTCGCAGTGCTACAAAGTCGCCAGGTGGAGAAGCGGTTGTGCTTTTGGCTCGCAGTGCTACAAGGTCGCCAGCTGGAGAAGCGGTTGTGTTTTTGGCTCAAGGTCCTATCAGCCGTACAGAATATCAGCCGGACCAAAGCTAGTCTATGGTTCTGGGCCGGCGGGGCTGCCCCAAGAAGTCGTCCAGCTGCCTTGCCGCAGCGGGCCTGCCGCGCCTCGTCAGCCGCCCCGCCGCGTTGCCACTGCCTTGCGGCGCCGGCAGGGCCAGCTTCAGCAGGGTCTCCCGGCCCTCGGTGCTCCGCACGGTCATGGAGTCCACGGCCGCCAGCCTCTGCACGTCGCTGTACTGGGGATTGAAGCTCCTCGCCGCGTTGGTGGGCGCCCGAAACGCCCCCGCGTCCTCCAAAACCTTCATGCGCCGGTTCGTCAAGTCCTTGTTGTGCTGGAACCTGTCGGCGTTGTCTTGCAACACCCTGAACTCGGTGGCCGGCTGTTTCTCGACGTCCTCCGGCTCGCCGTGCACCGTCTCGTGGGGGCGCGCGTTGTAGGCCGACGCGGCCTGCTTGAAGTGGTCGCTCCACTGGCCGCCTCTGCGGGCCACCCTGGTAGCCAGGTCCTTCTTGAGGGTCTGGATGCCCCGGTCCACCACTGCCATGGCGTTGCGGTCCTCCGGCCGCTTTGTGCGGTGCACCGCCTCATCGGGCAGCTCCCGGTCCAGCGTGGCAAACTCGTTGCCCAGGTCCGTCGTGACCACGAAGTTCTCGTCGTCCCCCGCCAGCTCCCGGGCCGCCCGCTTGGTGGCCCGGCCGACCGCTTCGGCGTTCTTGTTCTGTAGAGGCTCCACAGCAGCCTCCCGGGTGAAGACGTCCATCACCACCAGGCCGTACCTGGTCTTCCCCCGGGTGTTCTGGCTGAAGTCAATGAGGTCGGCCTGCAGCCGGTCGTTCGGCCCCTCGGCAGCAGACTTGCCCAGCGCGCGCGGCCGGGGCGCCTGCACCTGCCGGCCCACGTCGGCCTTCAGCGCCTCGAAGGCCATGGCCTGCGTCACGTCGAGGTCGCGCTGCCTCGCGAGTCGGTACAGCTTCCGCGGGTCCCGCACGTTGAAGTCGTCGGCCAGGTCCCTCAGCGCCTCCATTTTTTACTTGTTCTTCGGCCCCCGCTGGGCCTGCCAGGCTTCAAGTGCGTCCAGCCGGGCCTGGAAGCCCTTGCACACCCCCCAGAGCACGCTGGTCAGGTGCGAGTAGTCAAGCGTGACCATCTCCGTCCACCGCGTGGTCCCCGTCAAATTCTTCCACTTTGTTCCTGCGAAGTCGTCCGAGGCGAAGCCCAGCCTCAGGTCGCCGTTCATGTCCGGGCGTTTGTACTGCTTGGCCTCCACGGAGTCGAAGAGCTGCTTGAGCTCTGCCACGTCGGCCTCGGCAATCTCCGTCTTCACCCGGCTGTCCGACAAGTCCGTGAAGCTCGTGTTGCAGACCACGTTGCCCGTGTTGCCCGCGATCACGAGGCAGCCGGGGTTCCGCTGGTTCGTGGTCAGGGACAGCTGCGTCGAGAGGCTCTTCGTCTGCACCAGCGCCTCGTCGTTGATCATGATGAGCTCGCACTGGTGCGCCCCGCCGTCCCGCTCCAGGAAGACCCTCGCGCTCTGGTTGCCCAGCAGCCGCAGCTCCGGGCCGCTGTCGGGGGCCGCGCTGTTGTTGGACACTTGCAGCTTGCTCCAGCCCGCCCAGTTCTTCGTCAAGAGATCGTCCGAGAAGTCGGAGGTGTTGGTCACGGTGAGCGTGTTGGACGCGAAGAGCTGCGGCGCGGAGACCGTGCCCGAGCTCGTCACGTCGCCGCAGACCACGCTGCCCGTCGACACTCCGCCGCTCGTGGCCGTGAAGGTGCAGTCCAGGCTCTCGCAGTCCAGCGGGCCCGTGGAGGCCGCCCCGCTGACGGTCAGCGTGGCGCCCGTGAGCGCACCGGTGGCTGCGAAGCTCGCCGCGGTTGCCGCGCCCGAGGCCGTCAATGTCCCCGTGGACACGTCGCCCACCGTGGTGAAGTTCCCGGCGTTGGCCGTGTTGTTGATGGTGAGAGTGCTGCCCGTGATTCCTGTGGCGGAGCTCAGCAGGCCCACGCTGGCCGCGCCGGTGATGCTCAGCGAGCTGCCCGACACGGCGCCGGTGGACGACAGCGTGGCTCCGGCGACGGTGCCTGTGGCTGTGAGCGCTGCGCAGGAGACTGCGCCCGAGGCGTCCACGCCCGTGGTGAACACGTCAGTGCAGTTCACATCGTTGCACAGCAGCTGGTCGCAGCCCACGTTGCCCTGTGCGGTGAGCCCGTCCAGCGTGGCCGAGCCCGTGAGGGCCAGCGGGCCCTGATCTGCATGCTGTACAGGTCCAGAGTGCCCGCCGACTGCTGCACCAGCCCGGGGATCGAGCCTCCGGGGAAGCTGCAGGGCGGCGAGCTCCGCGAGGATTGCGTCGAGGGCGCTCTGGAGCGTGGTCTCGCTGGCGGAGAGCGCGGCGTTCGTGGCGTACGAGGCCAGCAGCGTCGCGTCGGCCTTGGCCCCCTGGAGCGCCGTGATGCTGGCGTCACGGCTAGCAAGCTGCGCTGCGACGAAGGCCTCGGTGGCGAGACCCAGCAGGGCATTTGCTATCTTGGTGTCCACCTCCAGTGGAGTGTCCAGCCCGTCCACCGTGGAGAGCAGGGAGGCCAGCGCGCTGGCGTCCGCCTTGCCGAGGAGGGCGGCGTCCAGGGCCGCCGTGGTGACTGCGCCCAGGAGGGCCGCCGCTATCTTAGAGTCCACTTCTGAGAGCAGGGCGTAAGCTGTCAGCGCGCTGGCGTCCGCCTTGGAGGCCTGCAGCCCCGCGATGGAGGCGTCTCTGCTTGCGAGCTCGGAGCGCTGCGGCGGACACGGCCCCCAGGAGAGCGTTGGCCACCTTGGTGTCTACCTCCAGCGGCGTGATCCTTGCCGCTATGTCTAGGGAGTGCTGGTCCACCACCGTCTTGAGGCCGTAGTTGGCCGCCACCGTGGCCAGCGTGGCGTTGTTGGCCGAGGCGATGGATCCGTTCATGGCCGCCGTGGTGCTGTAGTTGGACAGTTTCAGGTCCACGCCGTCCGGGGTGCTCTTCGTGGCCACCACGCCCTCCAGCACGTCGAAGGCCGACTGGTCTGCCTTGTTGGAGAGACCCGTGGT